GCCCGCGGGAGGCGGTCAGACGCTGAGGGGACGGGGACGGACCGGCCGCCCCTCCGTGCTGCCGGCGGGGGGGGGGGAGGCCCGGGCCGGTCGCTCCCCTCTTGCTCCTCCGTTCCCTCCCCTTCCCGTAGGCTGCTGCGGCGGTGTTCCCCGTCCCAGCTGGCTTCGGCTTCGTGTGACCTTCTAGATAAGGAAACGCGTGGCTGTTCAGGTCTGGGGGTGGTCTTAAATGGGGTTTAGATCGAGTTGGCCGGGGCGCTGCGGAGGGCGGCCGGTGAGGCGAGCCCTGCCCTGCCTTCGGCGCGGTGTCCTGGGGCACGGACCGAAAACATTAAACTTGGTTCCTGTGCTATCAGCAAACACACGCATGCTGCCCCAGGTATGGTAACGCAGGCAGGTGAGCGCTCCGAAATGGTTTCCGCAGGATTTTCGTTCCCTGCGACTGGGACGCGCCTCGGACCGAAGGCGCAGCGGCCTGCCGGAGTTTCTCTGTCTCCTGTTGGTAGGAGTCACGGTTTTGCAGGTTTTGGAGATCGCTGCTGCTCTTTGCTTCCTGAAATAAAACTCCACGGCGTCCGGGCGCGTGGTGCCTGCTCTGCCACGGAGGGAGCGTGTGACCTTGGGAAAAATCAATTTATATCTGTCCCGCTTTCACAACCGCTACCCCAGATACACGTGTGCCTTTCCCGAGGGCTTCGAAACCGACAGAAAGAAATTACTCTTATTTTACATGAAACTTGAAGCTGGTAGTCTAATACAAGCTTAATTCATCTTGTTCACCGTATTCCTATGCTTCTCAGCTCCTTTATCTGTGCAGCGCTAAATAGCAGTGGCTGAGAATGTGTCAGCCTGGAAAGTAGTGAGTTGGTGACACACCTCTCTCTGGTGGGAAGCCCGGTTTCTTTGCTACTGCGGCTGCTGGGGAGAAGAAGAGCTTTGAAATTTTTGCACGCATGCTGTTTCTTGCCTTTCTTTCTGGACTGTGATCTTTTACAGTAGCTTCCAGCCAGGGAAGGTCTGGGAAAATAATTAAAATGCAACTCCCTCTCTTTTCAGGTGGAGTGGAGAAGTCCTTCTATCGCCTCCTCTCCTCTCCAGTTTCCAGATTGCTATTAATGAAAGGGAACTGATTTTCCCATCCCTACCAAGCTTCGTTTTTTTTCTGCTGAACAGCTGAAACCTATGCCTCTGCTTCTGTGTTCAGTTTTTCTAAGCAGACTACGTGAAGGACTTTTGTCAGGAATACAGAACTCACCCACACTTATCAGGCGGGCTAGTCACCAATTTGTTAAATTTATTCTTCTTTCCAAAGCTTGAAAGAGGAATAGCAGTAGACAAACTGGAGCAAACTTGGCGTTACCCATGTATATCCAGTTCAAATGCAAATAATGCATTTTTTTTAATCTGTTTTCTGAAAACAGGGCAGTTCTGGCATGTATCTGACCTACATTTAGATCCGACTTACCACATTACCCCTGATCGCACCAAAGTTTGTTCTTCTTCCAAAGGAGCCAATGCCTCCAACCCAGGCCCTTTTGGAGACTTTTTGTGTGATTCTCCATATCAACTTATTTTGTCAGCATTTGCATTCATGAAAGATTCAAACCAGCAGGTTTCATTCATGATTTGGACGGGGTAAGTGTTCAAGTCACTCTGCAGTTAAAGCTTTTAACAGCTGGATCATCATATAGTGCAGTAATTCACAAGTTTATATTTGCACCAACAGATCTGAGTTTAGTATCTCACAAATGCTACTTCCAAATAGTCACTTTAGTTGTCCAGATGGCTAAGTGCAAGATGGAGAATGTAAGGCCTTAGGAACAGATTTTGGTCTCTGTAATAATTTCTGGATATTGTTGGACTGTTCATTGGGTCATTTACCACATGACTGTATTAGTACAAGTTAATAGAAATGGTGCGGCAACGCTGGGAAGTGGAAAAAGCAAAAAGAAAGGTCAGAGGAATAACTGACTAGAATGAATTATTATGGGAGGTACTGGATTTTGTAGGTCTTAAGGTCATTAAATCTAAAGTGCACCCCTTTTTAGAAGATACACTTTAACTGTATTTTATCTGGCTCTGTAAGACGTAACTAGAATCAAGCAATACTATAGCTTATGTTGTTTTTTTTTAAAGTGCTATAAAGTGACCATTCAGCTTCGGTGCCTGAGTTCTAGATCAGGGGCTAGCAGGGGGAGGATAACAGCGTCGTAGACGTTGTCTCTCTCCTCATTACTATCACTCATAGCTGCATGTGCTTCTAAACAAAGTGTGGTTTCACAGTCCCTGATTGCAGTATTTTGGATGCGTGCAGTCCCCTGTTGACTAAAACGTTTACCTCTTCTGTGCTGATCTTCCTTATTAGAAAATGGGCATAATAATATTCTGTCTCTCACACAGGTGTTATCTATGAGCCTTTGTGTGCCTTAGCAGTGGGAATGGAGAAAGAAGTGTGAAAGAGAGGCATATGAGTAGCTTGATAGTACCATGCCCTGTTACTTTCTAGGTATTCATGAAAGATAACATTAATTTACCCTTCTGCCATAGCAAAATTCTCCATTCTACCATCACATAATTTTTTATGGTATACGTTAATGGATAATTTATCAGAGAGATTAGTATCTTTGAGTGTTTGTGAGAACTAGTTTGTTTATCAATGATGGGGTATTTTTTACTGGAAAGATTATATATGTTATGTCACTTAATTTTGCTGGGGGAAGGCTGTTAGGAAATATGAATATGTAAAGACAAGTGATTAATTTATTTCACTTACTGTACTTCATTTTCAACAGGATGTTGTTAAAAGGGGAAAAGCAAACTTATAAGGTTGTGCAGATGACGGAGGATATATAACTCAAATTGCACAGTAGCTCAAATTGATGGAGTAGAATTAATTTAATTTCTAAGAAATCTTAGTTGTAAGAAGTGTGAATCATAGGATAAACATTAGCCTACTTGTTTGCTTTTTTTAAAAAAAAGCCTTTGCAGAGAGCCTTTCAGGCAATTCTTTGATTTTAATTAAAGAGTCTACAGTAGTATTACATACTAGACTGTAGATGTGTTTGCAGAATTTTTTGCCTTTCCTTATGTTGCTAATAAACCTTTGTTAATAAAGCCTTTTCCTTTTTCAGAGATAGTCCTCCTCATGTTCCTGTAAAAGAACTCTCCACAAAGTTGGTCATTAGCATCATTGGCAATATGAGTTCTACAATTCGTAATTTCTTTCCGGATCTTCAGGTTTTCCCGGCCTTGGGCAATCATGACTACTGGCCACAGGTAAAGCAAGTTAGAAATCTGTTTATGTATTGTACTGAGTGTGTTCCTAACCCCTCAGAAAGCAGGTGTAAAAAAAGCAGAGTTACATTTTTGTAACTATTATCCTGGAAACAGTATTCTACAATTCTCCAATTAGCATTTAAAATTATAAATGTTCCAATGGAGAACAGAAAGTACATCTCTCTCTGTGTTAAGTTACCCAAGCAAACTTTGATTCCAGGTAAAATCTGTACGTTGCCTGAGGTTGTGCAAATTTACTGCTAATCGTTCCTCATGGCTTAGAACCACCAGCTCTCATCATAGTTAATACACACTTACTTTTTTCTTGCTGTGTAAGTCATGCATGTGTGTACATAACTTAATCTGATAGAAATGACATCATTAGTGGATCTGTAAGCCCGTGGTAAGATTCAAGGCCTACCAAAAGGCCTACTGGAAATCTGTCTGCTGACATCACTGGATTTTTTTAATCAGACTAATGGCAGAATTTTTGTAAAGTTCCCATAGTTTTGCCACTATTATTAAAAATAGTCTTTTCTTTCTTTCCTTATTGGACACTTAGAAATATTTGCATTGATGATTTACGGGATGTGTGGGCCATTGCAGCTGAGGACGGTGCTTTTTTACTGTCAGTGTTCTGTGAATATTGTTCTTGGCATAGCTCAAAAGTAAACAGTTGCTTCATGTGTCCTTTAAAGCGTATTGCGGGTTGATCTGGCAGTACACAGGACTGAGAAGCAAATTCTGTCATTGGATCTGAGGGGATCGGAAGGGATGAGCCCATCAGCTAAAATATTTTGTTTGAAACACCTAATGGGAATTCAGTAACACCCCTTCACACCCCCAAAGACTTTTGTTCCAGGTTTCTGTGTTATTCATTAGGCCTATCAGGGTATATCTTGGTGTAGTAGGTGATTGTATTATAGTCCGTATCATCGCTGGAGTTAGTGATTCCCAAATCAGGGAGTAACAGAGGTGCTTAGAGAGGGGCAAGGGAAATGTGAGAGGCAAAATAAGAGCTAAACGTATCTTGGGAATGCAAGTGCACAAACCAAGCTGGGACTTCAGCCTCTTCTGTTCTTACTCTGGTAGTCACCAGCTTGTCACCAGAAACCACTGGTGGAGTGTTTTGATAAGTAACACCTTAACTGAATTCTCACTCAGTGTTTTGTTTTCATTTTGTTTCATTTTTTAAAAAACCTTAACAGAGAAGAGTTGTCATTCAGCAGTCTCTTTTGATATAGAAGAAAAAAACTGTATACAGTAACCGTGTAGACAAAGAATGTAGTGACTTTTCCAACAAATAGGAGTTTTGTTTGTGAAATTAAATCTGAAGATAGAAAAAAGATGGTCAGGAGGGGCAGACAGGCAGCAAATAGTATTTTGAAGCAGGCTGCTGATTGGAATAACTGTTGTAGTTCTCTCTGCACAAAACTATACAGGAGTGTTTCTGTGATACTTGCTTTGAAATGGCAAGCTTTGCTACTGCGCAGAACTGACATACCTTTCTGTTACTGTTTGAAAAAGACCATGGGATCAGAAATTCCCCACTATGGGGTCATTTCAGGTTGTTGGATTTTTATTTTTTTTTTTCTGTTGATGACATTTCTGTTTTTCATCTGGACATGCTTGGCAAATGTCCCATAGACTGGAAGTGATGTGGAGCATGCCACACACTGTAGGCTGTTCCAGAGCAAGAGTGAAAGCTGTGCGCTCACCATGCACTGAAGAATTTTATTGCTCTAAATTGTGTTCTGACCTGTCCGTCTTAACAATTTAACGGTCTTGGGTGATTTTTCTTGCAGAGCCTATTAAAAATACTACTCAGGTTAATCAAGCATTGGGGTACCTCTCAGATCGTATATCGTGACCTCAGTCTTTCTGCGTAGCCTTACTTGTTTCACATCCTTGCCCCTGCTTAAAACAAATTCCTGAACCGCTGTCTAATCCACAAGTTCACAGAGCACTGACTTGCCTGGGTCCAAACCACCTTCAGTCCATAACATGGCCTCTTATCTGAGATCAGGTTTTACTATGTCTGTTAGTGACTGTTAGCTCTGGCTGACCTGGTGTGGCTCAAAGCTTTCTTAATAACTGGTATCTGTGCACTGCAAGCAACAAATGTCTGAACAGACTTCTGATTGCACTACTCCTAGATGGAGACTTAGTGCCTAAGCCTCTAATAACATAGGTTTAGTTTCAAAGGTCTTAGAAAGGTCAAATTTTATGTTTAAGAAAACATGCACTGTAATACTGTTCCTATTTTTGGACCTCTGCTTTCTTCTTCTAGCACCAAGAATCCAAGCAGGTATTTTAGGAAAGGCAAGGACAGGCTGGGACCTTCCTTTCAGGGTTAGGTGAGAGCACGGCTCTTATCAGGCTGTGGCGCTTGGACAGTGCTTGGCGCAGACCAAAAGGTACTACAGTCCTAATTAGAGCTGGTGGGAGAAAACATTGGCAGAACTTTTCTTTTACATTTTAAAGGCGTTTAGAACTACAGGTTATCATGGAAATACTTGTGAGTTTCACCTGAATGCTTCTGAGGACCGTAGTGGAGTTTTGGGGAGCTGCTGTGAACCCCCAGTTGCTTGAAAAATTCACCTGCTACAAAAGAAGCTTATGTTCAAGCTTTTCCTCTAAGAGACTTTATTTTTAGACTTTGAATATTCAGTTTATGTATTTATTAGTTTTGCAGAATGTATGGTTTTCCACTCTGCTGTGCTCCTAAGGCTTGAAATATTTCTGGCATTAGTTTATCAATGCATTAACAAGGCCATGCAGTCCGTTCTAAGTTCAGGCATTTGCTCCTGATCAGCAATACTGAATGTTCAGAAGTTTTTGGTTTTTCCTTTCTTGAGTTCCTCCTCGTGATGACTGGATACACTTAGGTGTTATGTGGGAGGGCAGGTGGGATAATTTAGTGACTTTTTTGTCTGTGTCTCTGAATGCTAAGACTTAGGCAGGTTCTGCTCTCTCACAGGATCAGCTTCCTGTAACTACCAGTGAAGTTTACAATGCTGTAGCGGATTTCTGGAAACCTTGGCTAACTGATGAAGCAATCAGTACCTTCAGAAAAGGTAAAATGTGCCAGTAATGCATTGTAAAGCTAGGGCTTAGAGAACTGATGTTTCTATAGATTTGTCCTGTTTGTTTAGTGAAGTCTCATAGGATGAATCAGCACAATGGATTATCTGTAATGCTTCTCCTGGAAGAAGTTACTTGTCTTTTTGAATAGCAATGCTTATTTTCAGGGTACATTTATTCTTCTCTGGTGCAATAATTAGTGCTTCTTGTAACATGCACAGTATTATTGGCTTCGTACCAATGCATGTGAAATATCTTATTGCCTTCAAGACCTTATAATACTTTTTAGATAAAGGTGTACGATGCATGAGAAGATTTAAATTTGGTTGTAAAAAACTTGATGAAATGTTGTTTCTGTTTTGATACTATGTGTATTTCAGAGCATATTGAATAGGCATATATTTGTTCAAGTTATAATAGCACATAGTCTTGGTGATTATACTGTTAATTGCAGTTCTTCCTGGAGGAACCTATATGTTTGCAGAATTTCAAGAAATGTGGACTTTTTAACAATTACTGCACCTCTCAGTGTGGAAGAACTTCTTCTGTGTCAGTTGGGTAATTGCATCTGAAAACTGTCAAATAAACACAAAGGCAATTACAGGCAAGAATTCATAAAAAATTTAGTGTCAGCTTCTCCTGCTAAAATGTAGCTAAAGCCAGATTCTTAGGATATTCTCTTGTGATAAGGTGATGCATGGCTTGAATAAACATGCCGTATTCTATTTTATTAGAAAGAGTAAGGCTGGGTATTTTGTCAGTGCTGTACTTCCATTCTAAAGTTGCACTTTGAAGCCTTTCATTTTGCAGATGACGTTGCTCTTATTTTCACAGGTGGCTTCTACACACAGCTGTTTGAATCCAGCTCTCAACCGCTGAGGATAATCAGTCTGAACACAAATTTATATTACAGCCCCAACAGTGTAACTGTAAATATCACTGACCCAGCCAACCAGTTTGCCTGGCTGGAGGGAATACTAGAAGCCTCTTCACAAAAGGAGGAAAAGGTAGGGGCTGTGAACAGAACCCATCAGCATTATTTGTTCGAACTTTGAAAAGAACAGAAAAGAAGAAAGAAATAGAGACAATGAAAAGATAAACATGATTCTAGGAGAATATTAACAGTACCAAAAATACTGCAAGATAAAAATTTCATTTTTTTAAATAATTCTTCCTTAAATATGCACATTATACTACAACAATTAATAAAATAGTTGAATGCAGTTTCTCAAATTATACAGTAAAATACCTTTTCTTTCTTACTATGTAAAATACTCTAGAAGCCAGGATGAGAATACTTAATACTTTCACTTTTGTTTCTGACTCTCTTTACTCATAGCCTGTAATTTTAAAATGTGCACCCTTGGCCTGAGACGAAAGCTAGTGTATTTCATTTACATTTTAATGTAATTACAAGTATCAAAAATAGAAACTAAAAAGGAGTTTGTCAACCACAAAACTTATCCAAGCTGCAGCAATTGCTATGATTTGAGTGTTATAATAAATTGTCTTACAATACTCAGGTTTTGAAGTGAGGTTATAAATTGTTGGCTCGTGTTTGATTGATTGGTGCGGGGATTGGATCATCCTCTGACCAGAAGAAGTGTTTAATTTGAAACATGTTTACATTTTTCTATGGTGTTGTAATTTAAAAAATATTATATTACAGTCAGGAGAAAGGAGAGATTTCCCTTCCTCATAAAACCCTGCAGCATATTGGTTGGTGTGTGCAGTTGGAACCAAGTCTTGACCTCAGACAGAGAGGTTTTAACCAGCTCTTCCATGTTTCTGACTGTGCAGCCTCTGTAATATTCTAACATAAGTTTTTCTTGCTATCCTCTTGAGATGCCATATCATAAGTCTTGTCCTAGTAACTTATTTTTTAATTTGAAATAATTGATCAAATTTTCATTTGGCCTAAAATCACACATAGATTTATTGGAACTTTTTTCCCAAGAATATACTGAATTCACTAAAAAAAAAATTATTTATTTTTTCTGATTATGAATTTAAACATTCTTACTATTTGTATTTTGTATAACAAAACTGTTGGGATTTATAGCTTGCAGAATGCCATTTCTGAGATGGCATTATTACGAAATCATGGTAACCATGTCTAAGTTACAGCTAAGAGTCTAAGTTTCAAATTAAGGTGCTAATTGTGCTTTCTGTATCTAATTCCTTAGGTATATATAATAGGACATGTACCAATAGGATATTTGCCATATGCAAGGAATACTACAGCTATCAGGGAGTATTACAATGAGAGACTGGTAAAGATTTTTCGCAAATACAGTAGTGTTATTGCGGGGCAGTTTTTTGGACATACACATAGAGATAGTATCATGGTCCTCCTGGATGAAGAAGGTAATGATGCTTGTTGAATCCTTCATCTTTCTCTTCTTGATTAAAAGCAAATTAATACTTTCTTGCAGCCTTTGTTATAAATAATTGAAGAAGGAAATTGGGAAATACTGCTATTTATCTACAAGAGTACGTACTCCCAATTTTTTTTCCAGAGAGAACCTTGCAAGGCAGACTGTCTTTTTTTGTTGAAGTCAGAAGAGACTCCCCAAGCTTCCTGGTTTTGTTTTTTTTTTTTTTTAATGAATGGTTATGCCTAGACAAGGATTTCTAGTCTTTCCCCTCTGCTCTGTCAGTGACACGGGCAAATTATACTAGCCAGTTGCTATTGTGTAATGTGTCAAAGGGAATGTTCTCAGGCCAACTAGACATGCTCTGTGTTCTTGTGTTTCCTGCATCATTACTGTGCCTCTCTGCTGAGTTCCCTGCTGCTTCAAAGTTAATTAAGATAAGGGTAAGCAGGAGGCAGGGGAAAGTCTGTGCCTGTTGCATCTCTTAGATCAGCTAATTTCCCTTCAAGAAAAGCACCCATGTTTGAAAATTTTGTTTATTGCTCTGAAATCCCTTAGTTTTAAGCATGGGCATGGCCGTATAGAGAACTCTTAACATCTCTAACAGAAGATCTCTAACAAGTAACTGGTTATGTATTTGTGTCTGTACCATAGAACAGTGAGAGGACCATTGCTTTGGTTTATGTAAAATACCCAAATATTAATTGACTCTTCATCTGTGTTTTATATGAACTCATAAAAGCAATGCCCAAAATGCTGACTGGGGTAACAGTTATTCTAAATCATTTACCTTTTTACATGGCATTATCATGAAATTATTCTCCAGTAAAAAGGAATCCAGCCTTAGTGAAAGAACTGGCTTTTTATATTTTTTAAAATGGTATTCAGGGCAGTCTTATACCTACATATTTTTGTACCTTGTCCCATTTGTGCATGAAATCGTCACCTCTACTGCAGATTTCACTGAGGACAGACTGATCTCGGTGCCTTGTTGTTACAGTTTGCATGCGCAAGTAACTGCTTCCAAATTGTTTTAATAATTTTGCATCTTTTGACAAAATTTAAACAGTGAAATTGCATGTAGCTAAATACAGTTTGTGTTTATCGTACAGTTTTGGGCTGTCTTCTATTCATGCTGTTTTCATCTTGACAAAATTCCAGAGAATTCAAGATAAATGTAATATTGTAGCCAACATGAGTGTACTGAGATACAGAGCTTAGTTTTATCCTCTCCAGAAGAATCTACTGATGTCCAAGCTTTCAAAGCTTCTGCTCATATGTGGAGACTGACCTTGTGATTTCACTGCGGTGATGTTGTCAGAGAAAGGAATAGTTAGGGCTTCTTTTTTTGTTCCACAGAGAACCTCTCAATATACTTACCTGCATATTCTGTCTAATTAAAACCCGTGTACATCCTCATGTTTCAGTTGCTGTAAAGATTGGTGTTCACGTACCAGGTGCTAGGCTAGTCTAGATGAGTGAAGTCAGGCTCAGGTGGTCATACCCTGGCGTTTCTAATAACATCATAAATACATAAAGCAACGTGCAAAATATAGCATGAAGACAGCAACTAAAAGTTTTGAATATTTCTTCAGTAGAAATATGCAAATTTACATAGAGGCAAGACAATTTTGCACAGCTAGTTGAATTGGTGGGAAGCCTCTAGTATCAACAAACTTAACTGGTAACACACTGGAGTGTGTACTGTGGTATTTTACACAGATTTTGGTCTATCCAGTGGAAGTATAGAAGGAGTTCACAGTGATACAGCTAATCCAGGGAGAAAAAAGTGCTAATGTACCTAAGCCAGTCACTCTGGTTCTTGCTGTGTTGACGGAAACTGTTTCCTCACCTTTCCTCTTCCTGCAGAAAAGCCAGTAAATTCCTTGTTTGTGGCACCTGCTGTAACCCCAGTGAAGAGTGTATGGCAAATGGAGTCCAATAACCCTGGCGTCAGACTGTATCAATATGATCTTCTTGATTATAGCTTGCTGGTAAGTAAAGATTTTAAAGCATTTTTTAAGACTTTAAATAGCGTCATTAAAAATTACAGTGAGATGTCAGCCTTTGTAGTATTATGGCTATTGGTGGGACATTGGTGCTTACTCTTATTTTTCTTCCTGGGCAAAGGAAAGGAAATCTGAAAGAGAACTTGGTCAGTGTTTCGGTACGTGCAGGACTCCCCGGTACTCCCTGTTCTCCATGGAATGTTTTTATGATGTAGAATCAAAGACAGTCAGACATTTTCTGGGTGGAATCCTAAAACTATTTGCAGGAACCTCTGCAACAGTGAAAAAGGTTCACCTAAATCCCAGGCTTGTTTACATACAAATGTTGTTTGCTGGTTTTGGCCTGAGCTTAGTGATGCAGTCCATGAAAAGCTTCTAAAGGGTGTGGAAGAGCAGATGAAGAAAAGCTCTTTTAACCGTGTCATGTCTTTTGTAATCATGCATCTTGCTATACAGAGTTTATACTTTTTATAGGAAATTATAAATGAATTTAGAAGGAAAAAAGTAGAATACTTCTATCTCATGTGATTTTTGGAGATAAAATGAATCCTGTATAATTATTTTGGCTCTGAATGGCTCGGGTATTCTCTCTGTAATTCAGGGTAAAATCTTGACCTCGCTGAGTTCAGTGACAGTACATCCTGCAGCTTGACTGGGACTGCGGTTTCCGTCTGGAGACATATGCTAATACAGGCTGCTACTTTCTTGTGGCAGATTTCACTCCTGCATCTCCATCTCTCCTTTTCCCTTCAATTCTCCCTGGGCCATTCTTTTCTGTCCATTCTGCCCTTCAAGCAGTGCCTGCAGAAAAGAAACTTCCAGTTCTCACCCTTTTGCCCCACTCCCCTAAAGCAGACATGAGCATAGTGGAGTTTATTTTACAGTTTGGACAGGAAAGACCTCTAACACTGCCACTGCTGCCTTTTGTGACTCCTTTTTCTTCTCCTCCCCATCCCCCCACCATTACTGCACCACAAGTACCAGTTTGGGTGTAAGCCCAGCTCTTGGGGTGGGACGTGACCTTCTGTTCAGTTGTGAATAATGAGGAGCGACAGCTTCCTAATCAATGTATCACTCTAGAGGCTTAATGAAGCAGGGAAGAAAGTAATACAGCCGTGCCTATTTTTTCTTTCTTTTTTTTTTTTTAACTGTAGGATCTTTGGCAGTTTTACTTGGATCTCAGAGACGCCAACAAGAAAAATGAATCGAACTGGAAATTAGAATACATCCTGACTAAAGCTTACGGCATTGAAGACTTGAAGCCAGAAAGCCTGTATGAAATGGCCAAGCAGTTGTCTATGCCACACAGCACACTGTTTGAGCGGTATTACAGTAACTTCATTGTGAGTTATGACAAAACCATTGTCTGTGAAGAGGGGTGCAAGACCTGCCAAATATGTGCAATCCAATATTTGGATTACTCCTCATACACAGATTGTATCAATCGGGAAGCAGTGTGGAGGTGAAGTCTCCGTCCAATTTATGCTGCTCTTGACTTTAGCCTGTGATTTAAAGAACCTGTTCATCCTTTTGCTCAAGCACTGGTAGGCTGACAGGGAGCCTGTGGGATTTATCTGAACTTCAGGGAAGCAATAAATCTCCCTAGATCTTTCTTATTGTAAACATGTCTTCCTTCCACGTCTAAATAAAAGTTTATTGGCTATGTAATTGTAGCCAGATACTTGGCTGTTGTTTCAAGTGTCCTGTACCCTCTGTAACAAGTGTCCCAGTATGTGGGAATAGAAGTTACTCACTCAGTTCTTTGGAAATCCAAGTCTTTTTTTCTCAGGGTGTGTAAACATAGGCAATGCCATTTCAGGCATTGGATTTGTATGGGGGCAGGTTTCAACCATCTGCTGTCATAATTTGCAAACCGAAATCCACAAAACTCGCATTTGCTGAGACTGGAGTGCAGTTACATTGTTGATGTGATGCCAGTATTTGGTATCTCCCTGTGCCAAGTTTTCTTTTCCTTCTTAACCCCTTAAACCCACCTCTGTTTAGGGGCATATTCTAACGACAGCAGGAACATGACTTAATGGCACACAAACCTCCATCCTGTAAATACTTAAGGCATTTTTTTTCAGAATGTGTGTGTTTGCACAGCACAAAGTGCTTTTTTCTTATAATAGAGCTATGTACAGTGGTACTGCTGTCAGGCAGCCTCCTGGTATGAGATTTTGCAGCAGACCATAAGTCAGGTTTAAACTGATCAGCATCACTAATTAGATATAGTATATACGTTCTCGGTGCAGCACAGGTAAATATGCACTTGTCATGGTGTTTCTCAGCTTTCTTTTTTCATAGTGCAGTCTCATACTTAATGTGAAGATTATCACTTGTATGAATTTACAATTGTGCAGACCACTTCCTCTTGTTGTGGTTTAATGTGTTCACAAAATGCTAATATTAAGAAGGCTGTTTATCTTGTGTGTGTAACCAAGAAGGACCTTTACCCTTTCTTCTGTCACATCAAGAGCTACACTTCTGGAACCTTTGGTCAATATAATACCATACAGACCCTTCTCTAGATAATATTATTCTGGTGCAACTGGAGCTGTAGAAGTGCTTATGAGACAAATCCAATTGCTGTTAATTTTAATGAGATTAAAGCCTTTACTGTAGCTGTTGAGGAACTTTCTGGTTTTGTTTCCACCCAAGCTTGAAATATTTAGCAGAATATTTCCGGACAAATTTTCTAAGTCTAGTATTCACAACTGTAGACGCAGATACCTCAGATTGTCATGCATCAGTCATCCACAGAGGAAATGCTTGGTTAGTTAAATTTGCATTCAGAAACAAATCCTCCAGTGGCACTAATGTTTAGAAATGCCATTAATAATGCAGAGTAGGCAGGCCTGTATTTTAAATTCTGTTCTTGGAGAGGGTATGGTGGGCATGTAAACTCTTCAGAGCTATCTGCTCTGGCTGATCTCGAATGTATCTGGATATGTAAACAACCTGAATTAACGTGGGTTCTGTACAGACTGTGACACTGAGGAGGTACCAGAAAGTTTCAGCACTGAAAGCTGATGATTCCCTCTGTGTTGGATGTGTTTCTTGGTTGCATTTCTTATGGGCTGGTTTGTTGAAAGATGCCTATGTTACCAGTATCTGTTCTCCAAGGGCAAGCAAGCAAAGTTGTGGGCGGATAGCATAAGGGCAATTGGAGTTGATAGGATAGCTGAGCTTGCTCCCATTTCCCAGATGGGTTTTGTTCAGTTTGGTCTTGTGCTTTAACCAACTGTCTCTTTTCTCATACTGGTTTGTTTCTGTGAGTTCTGCGACTTCTGTTTAAGCTTAATACCTACAAGACACCCTGGAAACACTAAAAAAAATACCTAGTTGTATTCCTCCATTAAGGACTTGTTTATTGCTGAATCATGTGGCAGATTAGTAGCTACAGAACTCTAGGAAGAGTGGTCTGCTGCTGGTGGGTTGTTGGGCATCTTATTTCTTTTTTTTTTTTTTTGGATTTGTGTCAGTAGATGTTACTCAGTGAGCATGAACAAATAAATGACTACAAATGTCTAAATAGCAAGTTATGATCCAGATATACTTTTTAAAATCTGGACTTCAACTGAAGCCAAGAGTTGGATGGCATCGGCCAAGGAGGTTGTTTTTGTTTCAGCCAGAGGGATATATCCACCAGCATTGCATTTAGCCAGGGTATATCTTCCAAGATATATACGCTGTTATGCAGTCTAGCATTCTCTGCTTCCCCTGTATGTAACTATACTCATGCAAATGCAAACATAACTAACCAAGAAAGATCCAGGAGTATGTTTGACTGCATCATCTTGTAACTCAGATATAAACCAAGGAGAGAGCTTCTAGGGATGTTACACTGTAAAAACCGAGTTAAATCACATGAACAGCTTGGATGGCGCCTGCGTGTAAGGGGAAATAGGAGGTGACAATGATATTTTTGTTTCAGATTCCTACTTTGTTCCTCCATGGATCTGGGAATGTTCTAAAGGTAAGTTATACTTTCCCAACAGAAGCTTTTTTAATGACTCATAGGAAACACCAAAGAGGCATGACCTGATAGAATTTTCTGACTCCTGTAGACCAGATTCCTGTTTCACTTTTCACATGGTACTTTGTGGCCCCATCTTGAATGAAGGATTAGGAGGAATATTTGTAATTCCACATTTGACAGAAAGACAAATTACACCACCTAGTGGAGTAAAAAACTTCCAATTTTCCTACATTTTTCTACCATTAAACTTGAGGCGTATAAACAAGGAGAGTAATTCCTCAAATTTTCTAGGATTTAACTTCTAGTTTTTGAAGGTAAGTAGTTTTTGAAGGAAGTACTGCTACTTCTTTGTAGCAGTACTGCCACGTAGCACGCTTTCTCTGTGTATTAAATGGTTGCTGGCTCCTAGAGGCCGTCACTTGATGGATCCTGAACCCTGCGGTAGGTGCAGGTCTCGGCCCACATCCAGGGAAGAACTGGAGCCTATGGAAGGGATCCTCAGAGTCCAGCTCAGGTAGCCAGCGGAACAGGGATGCAACGGAAACCAAAGATCTATCGCTAAGCTGGCTGGTGTCTCCCTCCAATTAGTTTCCATGCTTTAATTCTCTCCTGGAGTTAACTGTCTGAGCTTATGTCTACATTAACAGGTACTGCAGCCTAATAGGAGCGCCTTTTTTAGCAGGAGAGTTGGTGCGGAGGAGCTGATGTGACCGCTGCGCGTTTCGTTAGCAGTTGGAGGTCGTTAGATGTACCCTTGAAGCGCAGCTGCCAACGGCGGCGTATCTGAAAGAGCACGCTGCAACGTGAATAAAAGCACAGTAAGCGGGGATGGTCAGTGAACGCTGTTCAAAGGTGTTCTCTGGAGCCAAACTGAAGTGAAGGTGCCCCCAGAGGCCAACCTGAATTGCTTTCCATTTGGGCGCTCGGTAGTGTCTGCATGTGATCTCATCTTTTCTATTGTTTTTCACTTGCCAGCCTGAAGAAATTGAAATGACTGGAGGAGATGGGCAGTGAGAGAACATGCTGTTGGACTAATTGAAGTGATGAACTTAAGTTGTCTAAAGGCAGAAATAGGTAACTAACTACACGTAGTCCCTTGTGGCCCATTTCCTGCATGAACAAATGATGAGCACATAGCGTCTTCGAGGATAAGTATCTAGTTTAACACTGTCAAGTAAGATCCCTCTGTGGAAATGGCAATCTCAAGAAGGTGAGTTGTCACATCGGTCTAAAAATAAAACCTCTTGGAAGTCTCTCTCATGCCCAGCCAAGAGGAACTATGACAAAGTCAATCAAGAAAGGGACTGTAACTGTCTAAGCAAGATTAGTTGCTTTCCCTCCTTATTTTCCAAAAGCTGTAGGCTAGCTTTTATTTGCTTACCACTATAGCTTTCAACAGGAAAATACTGCTTTAGATGATTCACTTGTCATCTGTCAGCCCCAGCTTTCTTGTTCTGCTTGAGGAACATCCTACCTAGCAATTCTACTAGTTTTGTTATTTGCTGGTTTGCAAAGAAGCCTGGTGTAAAATTAATGTTGTTTTCATACTGGGTGTGAAATTCAACTGTAGAAATTCAAAGAAATCGCATAGAGAAAAAACCAAAAATGTTAAGCGTCGTATGTATGCTTAGTAAGTTTCTGATAGTTGTGGGAATGGCAAAGGCACTGTACTGAATGAGCATTGCCAGTGTGCTATTGAACACCGTACGCTGATTCAGGTGTCAGGAGAATGGTCACAAATAGGATGGAATACGCAGTAGGTGGATGACTGAAATCGTAACCAAGGAGTCACTTAAAACCAAAAATGTTGAAAGCAAAACCACTGGAAATGTGGCAAACCCCAGCCCCAAGCACTTAGTGAGGCTGTGGAAAGAGCACTGATGTACTTATAGATGTGGCCAAATTACAGCTTTTCAAGTGCAGTTTATGTTGCCTTCAGTGATAGAGATATATTGAAAGACTGTCTGGAAAATTCCTTCTGTTACCTGCATTTCTATTGAGCTGTGATCTGAATCTACCTGTCAAATGTATTTCAGCTAATTACTGAAATGTTCCTCCATCATATCTTCCAGCTTGCACTGGGTAAGAAAATTGGACACTTTGTTCTCGTACCCTATAAACTCTTTGTTGGATTTTAAACAGCCACTCAGACATCAGGAATAATTAAGCTGGAGAAGTTTCAGATGTGGTGCTGGGCAAGAAGAGTTTTTCCCATCCTGAAAATCGTCCTGAGATCTCAATATTTCCCACTGGAATAAAACCAAGACCTTGTTGAGTTTTTAGGCAGGGCGATATGCAAAGTGGGGATTTGCACCTGCGCCTGCCACCTTCCCCCTCAAGCACTTGCCGTGCATCTGTCATGGTGTTGGTTATGCTTTCTCCTTCTACCCTGCAACTGAACAACTTCCTAAATTAAAATTTTCATTGGAACTCTTACATTTATATAAAAAATTCTGATATTGACACAGCATTTTCCACTGAAAACTGTTAAGCGATTCTCAGGAACTTCTCCCACATGCTAGGAAGTTTGACACCTTGCCTGTCCAACGCAGTGCATGCCAATGGATACGCTGCAGCAACTTTTTTTGTCCTATATAATCTATGATATTTGACAGTTTGTGTGGGCCAGATGATCAGCTGGTAAAAACTGACTTTGGAGCACTGAAATTAGTGAAGCGATGAATTAATTAATAAAGTAACAAATAATCGTACTTGCGATTCAGGAATGGGTTTTCAAAAATACCTAAATAATATTTCTGTGTGACGTGATGCAGTCCCACCTGGCACTGAACGAGCAGTCTCAGGTAGCAGTAGCAGCGTAGCTGTATCAGCGGAGTGCTTTTCCTGGAGTAATTCCCCCTGTAGCCCGGCGTGATGTGATAACACAGCCATCCTGCTTCCCCTTCCAAGCTACCCTGGATGTTTGCCTGTATAGCGTTGATTTATGGCACGTAAATACATACCGACAGACTTAAGCGTACAAACCCAAATGATTTGGGCTCCCAGGTCTTCTGGTTTGATGTCTGTTGACTACAGATGGACAACCCTTACACAGTGTTTCTAGGGAGGTAGGGCACTCTGCATCTTGCAGATGTTGGATTTTACAAGACAATTTAGAAACGCCTGAGGCTGCTAAAGGATGGCAATTTCTCTAGGCTCTTGTGTAAGCATCCAACTTCCCAAAATCCACGGTGTTCAGTCTAGCAGGATCTTCCGTTAAGTGGGGGTGGTGATAAAAGCCTGTAGTTGTGTCACTCAAAATACATGCGGAAAGACTCTTCTTCCAGATGGGTAGGGTACCTTAAAACTCTTGCGTGCTGCTCTGGCTTTTTTATGCCTTATAAAATGGGAAGCATCCATTTTTAGACACTTTGAAAAGCCTTCCCTGGCCAACTTCTCGTTCCTATTTTGTTGGACGTTTCAGGCAGAACTTGTCCCATATATCAGAATGTTTTACACCTATGAAAACTGCCATCTGCCACAAAGCGTTTTTAAACCAGTCTAAACTTGAGACTTTGGTAAAATATCCCACTAAAAGATTCTGATGTTGTTGCAGCTGATTGCAATGAAGCGTGCATTTTACCTAGCCTTAATTGAGTCACTGCAAAGAACATTTAACTTAGTCTCACAGGAGGGGATATTTGATGTTGTTTTTACATCAACCTAGCTGAAACCTTCCAACATTTCTAACAGACTTTGTTGATAGCTAACAAGACATGTTTCAAGCTGTCTGTTCTTAACAAAGTCTCCTCATTTGTGTTTTCTTTTTTTAAAATCTAATTGAAAGTATTTATACAGAGCTTGAAATTCTAGACAGGCACAGGATTTTGCTCAGAATAATTGCTAGTGTACAATGGAGGACTTTTCTATAGTATTTTTTTGTGTTTCTCCCCTCCTCCAATCCCCCGGGCTAAAGCAAATTTCTGCTAAGCGGTGTCAAAAAACCATAGCAACTATCTTGTGACAGAGCTGAGGAGGTTTTGTTCTGCAGAGGACCCATTAATCACTTATATTGCCCCCAGCCCCCAGTCCCATCCAATGCGATGCTGGGAATTTTCTGCTGAAAACTGTTGCTAAATATTTGTACGGGTGAAGCCCTCCCCTCAGAGTGACCCACGGGGGAAGTGGAGTGCATTATTCGTAGCACGTGTGGCCGTGTGAGGCTCGAGGGATGGATGGAGAGATTCCCAGTACCAGGAGATGGGAGTTTTCTCTCCAGTCCCATCAGGGGAAGGAGGAGCAGGAGCTGGGATTTTGCCCGGGGAGTGGGCACTGAATCGTATTTCCTCTTTTATTTAATTGCTAAATGTCAGCTCTTACTTGGTTTTTTTTTTGCGTAGTATCGGTTCAAATCAAGTTTTCAGTGGAATCCCTCATTCAGAATATGCCAGCAATTAAGCTTTGACCTATCAAAACAGTCAAAAAATTCCCACTCGCTCACTGCATTTACTTACTCACTTAATCCATAAGACCTCCCAGCTGCAGCAGAAATCCAGCCCACTGCAGTTTGTATTCTTGAATATATTAGCCACCTACTACACAAGCAGTGCCTCAAATAATTTTGGGAACTCAGAGTCCAGAAAAATGAATAATTAGGAAATCAGAATGCGGCTCTTCCTGTATCCTGATTGTCAGTATTTACCTCAGGTACACAAACAATAAACACCTTAGAACAGAGAGTATTTCTATACCCTAAATCCTATTTGCTACTTTCATATAATTATACAGAAAAGCAATTTCTGTGTGATCAGCTGGGTAGGGCAAACGTGGTTCGTTGTGCATGGAGGAGGGGTGGCCCTCAGCTCCCCCCATCTTCTGGAGTGCCATTTGGATGGAAAATAGGGTCCCTTCTTATCTAATGATTTAAGTGGAAACATGTCAGTGCTTCTCAATGCCTCCAAGGGGATGTTTTCCCACAGAAATTTGCATATCTGCCCTCGTGCTGTCTTCGCATCTTTCCACCAGGCCGTGTTTTGCCACCACTTCTGTTCGTGGGACAAAGATAGAATTAACAGCCAGGGCCTCATAGTGTGCCGTTTCCTTTGCAGATACGTTGATTCCCTTTTGAGGCCCCTAACTGCATTCAGCGTCGCTTTGCTTTGCTTTCCCTCCCAAAGAAGAGCGAAGGTTATTTGAGAGAGACCCTGCCCCTTCGCCTCCAAGCCGGGGTAAGTCGTATCATGACCAGGGGAGGTGAAAATCTCTTGCTTCAGCTGCAATTAGACGACTGTTACTATATCGCTGCTAAACAAAACGTCACGATAGTTTTTTTTGGACTGTGTCCTTGACAGCCCTCTTCTTAGGTTTGTTTTCAGGTGATAAATTTTTCTAACACTTTGTATGTGTGACAGACCAGTGTCCCATTCTTAAATTGCAAAGGGCTTAGCTCTGCGTAGTGTATCGCATGTTGAGCTTGAAGAATAATCTCCACGCATTTCCTTTGTTTAGGCATAAAAACCACCTCTCGGCTTATGCCAGCCTAAGAAGTGTTTAGCCTCTTTTTAGAAATCCGACTTCAGGAATTTTGTTTTGTTCACATATATGAGCAATAAGGGTGTACTCTTGAAGACATAGTTCCTGGAAAAGAAAGCAAGGTGTAGTCAAAAATGTGAATTAACCAGTCCTAATTGGTTAGGTTGACACCTAGGTTAGCATGCTTAGAATCTGGTGCAACTCCAGTGAGGTCAGGA